GTTTGTTCCTTTCTCCTGCTTCTTTCTGCAGATCTGTTTTTTTTGTTTATTGATGGCTTTTCTGCTCCCCCAAAGCCACAGCAAGTGGCTTTGGTCCTGGCTGTGGCCTGGCCACTGCAGCCTCAGGATGCTTAGCTTTCCAGGTGCCCCCCCTCCATCATCTGTCTGCCCAGCCACTCGCACTCTCCATTCTAGATCCGCAAGAGAGAGCTGCCTGGTCCATCTCGGCTCCCATATCCATCCCAGTCCAGTCAGCTGTGGTCAGAGGTGGCCTGAGGAAGAAGTTGGGGTTGGAACCCAAGTCTGTCTGCCTGCTTTTCCCCCTTCATCCCTCTGCAGGGATGCTGGAGCTAAGGGATGCATGGCGTGGCTGGAGTTCTTGTGATCTGGATTCCAGGGGTGGCACTGCTGGGCTGGGGGAAGGCTGAGGAAAGTCCGTGCTGCAGCTGTGATGGGCAGGGGAGAAGCCCGCTGGTGTGGCTGACGGGTAGCTCTGACCATGGCAGCCATCACTCACTGGAATGGACAGCGATGCCTTGTTTCTGGTCATGGAAGAGATCTTGCTGGGGACCTGAATGTGACTGGATACACCTTAGAGAAACCAGAGAAGTCATCATTACTACGTTGGGCATTTGGACCCATGATCTTACCCCTTCTTTCTCAACTCCTGTGAGGCATGGGTTAGCATCTCCACAGCCTGGAGAGCTTGAAGGACTTACCCAATGGCCACCGAGAGAAAGTGGAGCCACAGAGATTGGGACCAGAGACTTCCTGACATAAAACATACATTTTTGGGCGCTGGCTGGGTAGCTCAGTTGGTTAGAGCATCATCCCAATACGCCAAGTTTGCGGGTTTGATCCCAAGTCAGGGTACATACAGGAGTCAACCAGTGTCCTGGCTGGTGTGGCCCTGCAAACCAAAGGGTCACCGGTTCGATTCCCAGTCAGGGCACATGCCTGGGTTGCAGACCAGGTCCCCAGTTGGGGGTGTGTGAGAGGCGACGGATCAATGTATCTCTCACACATGGATGTTTCTCTCCCTCTTTCTCCTTCCCTTCCTCCCTCTCTGAAAATAAATAAATATTTTTTTAAAAGTCAACAATGAATGTATAAATGAATGGAACAACAAATAAAAGTTTCTCTCCCTTTCTCTCTCTCTCAAAAAAATATGCTTTCAGCCACTGGCCTCTGTCTTTGTTACCATTGTTACATTTGTTTAGAGCTCCACAGTTTACAGCACATCACATGCATGGTCTTACTGGAATTACTAAACACGCCTGGGGGGCAGCACAGCTGCGCTTATGTTCCCATGTGACCACGGAAGAAACCAATGGTCAAGGAGCAGTTGTGACTTGTCCTCAGCTACCTGGCTCCCCCGCTGGTCAGTGGCAAAGCTGGGACCAGTCCCAGATCTTTGGGACTCAAATGTATCAACAGGTATTAATGTGTCACAATGTACCAATGTTATTGCTGGCAGTGTGGTTCTTTTTTAATAACGTACAAAATTGTTAAACAAAAACAACAAATATATCCTTCCCTTCAAAAGATTGTACAAGGTCTGTCTGGAAAAAGTCCAGTCATTGTTAATATAATGAGAATGGTTTGTTAATGCATTGAGAATGGACATCGATGTAACGTGGCAGCCACGGAGAGTGGACTGGACTGCTCATGTGTGAACAGTGGCGACTTCCCTGCACTAGTCAGGGGGGGCGGTAGACACTGTTGAGTGAGCGTGTGCACGGAGTGGTCCTTGCATTCCAAATGACTGGGGAAGTAAAGAATGAATCTGCATCAGAGTTTGCATTAAGCTTGAACAGTCCTCTGTAAAAAGCTTTGAATGAATCAGAAGGCCACAGCTGTGGGCAGCTGGTGATTGGCAGCTTCATCACAACAACGTGCCCGCTCATGCATTGTGTCTCATAGAGCTTTTTGGCAAATCATCAAATCACCCAGGTGACTCAGCTCCCGTACAGAACAGATTTGGTGCCCCGAGACTTCTGGCTTTTCCCAAAACTAAAATCACCTTTGAAAGGGAAGAGGTTTCAGATCATCGATGAGATTCAGGAAAATAGAACAGGGCAGCTGATGGCAATCAGGAGAACTGTGTGAGGTCCCAAGGTGCCTACTTTGAAGGGGATTGAGGCGTCATTGTCCTATGTGCAATGTTTCTTGTATCTTCTTAAAAAATGTCTCTATTTTTCATATTACACGACTGGATACCTTCTGGACAGACCTCGTAAATACATATAACATACATACTAATAAAAGAAGAAAAATAAATACCCTTCCACCACCTTAAAAAACCACACATCATTGGTGCCTTTCAAACTCCTTCACAGTTGTAGTCCCACATCCTTTGCTCTCCAGGTGCAATTTTATATTTGACATTTCCTTGCTTTTCCTTATGGTGTTGCCACATGTATTTATATGTCTGAACAGTTTGTTTCTTCTTGCATGGTTTTGGCCTTGGCACTCAGCGTTGTGTTTGTGAGAATGCATGCGGCTGTGGTTTACTCAGCTCTGCTGCCCTGCAGGACCTCATCATAGCAATAGGCCATACTCCACCATTCTGCTGCTGACGGGCGTTTGGGCAGTTTCTCGTTGTTTGCTGTTACAGGCAGCGCTACCGTGAACATTCTTTTTTTTTTTGGAAGATTTTATTTATTTCAGGAGAGAGGGGAAGGGAGGGAGAAGGAGAGGGAGAAAAACACTGATGTGCAAGAGAAACATCCATCAGTTGCCTCTCGCACACCCCCATCTAGGGACCTGGCCCACAACCAGGCATGTGCCCTGACTGGGAATCGAACTGGTGACCTTTTGGTTCACAGGCCAGCACTGAATCCACTGAGCCACACCCGCCAAGGCTACTGCAACCATTCTTGCTGCTGTCAGCTGAGGAGCTCATCCCAGGGTGCCTGACATGCATCCCTAGGAGTGAAATTACTGAGTCATGAGGTCGTCACTACATATTTAGCTTTATGAGATAATACCAAATTGTTTCCTAACCAGGTTTCTCCAACATCTACTCTCCTGGCGGCAGGTGACAACTCCTGTTGCTGTACACCCTAACCAAATGACCGGGCATCATCAGATTAAAAATGTTTACCTGCCTGCTGGGTGAGAATGGGCTCTCCCTGCTGTTTTAATTTGCATTTTTAATTTAGTGCTCAAAGCGTGATGGGCGGGAAGTAGTTGATTGTAGCACTACAGTCTGTGTCCCCAAAGGTAGCTGCATCATGGGAAGTGCCCCAGCTTTGTTCGGGATGGGGGAAGGACAGCGGGCAGGAGAGGAAGGAGGTGGCCTCCGAATGGTGTGGCTTCCTGCAGCGCCAAGTCCCGACAGAGGCAGTCCATCCTGCCCTTCTTCCCCCAAGATGTCACCCACCGGCCTCCCAGGGCTGCCTGAGCCCACGCCTTTCACTGGAATGAGGTCACTGGAATTCCTGGAACCCAGGAGTGACCGCATGGGCTTGTGGGGCGAGCACACCAGCTTCACCCTTGAGAAATGACGGTGCCTCACTCGCCCAGACTGTCTGGAAGGAAGAAAATTCCAAACAGTCCAACCCAACTTCACATTTTTCGTGTGAACCAAAGTGGGAGGAATCTTTAGCCGGAGGCTTTTGGGGTGGGGCTGGGAGCTCATATTTTCACTTATCACCCTGGGATCCCAAGCCAGCGTTGCTGCTGGAGGCCCAGGCGCCTTCTGGCTTTTCTTCCTGAGTCGACGCAGTGCAGAGAAGAATGGAAATTTCCACCCGGTTTTTCCACTTTCACCTGCGTGACCTTGGGCAAGTGACCTCCCGTCTCTGAGCATTGGTTGGCTGTCAGTAGGGGGCCACGTTGCCCACGTCCCAGCTCAGGTGAGTCTGAGTTGCAAGGCCAGCTCCGTGCCTGGAACATCCCAGCAGCCCCAGTGGAAGGGATTCTAACAATATTCTTTTTTTTTTAAGATTTTATTTATTTATTTTTAGAGAGGGAAGAGAGGGAGAAAGAGAGAGAAAGAGAAACATCAATGTGTGGTTGCTGGGGGTCATGGCCTGCAACCCAGGTATGTATCCTGGCTGGGAATCGAACCTGCGATACTTTGGTTCACAGCCCGCACTCAATCCACTGAGCTATGCCAGCCAGGGCTCGGATTCTAACAATATCCTTCAAACTTTGGGAATATTTCGGAGAAGGTGCCTTAAAACTGGTTTTCTCAAATGGAGACTATTTTTCCTCCTCCAGGCAGATATTTTTTTTAAGACGAAGCACCCACAATTTGGGGGAGTGGGAGGAAAGCTACCACATTACAGCTGTAGCTTCTTAATGTTTAAAAATAAATCAACCGCCATAGGCTGCACCTTCCCTACAGAGAGCCCTGAGCCGAGCTGTGGGGAGGGGAGTGGGATGATGATGATGATTCCTGGCACCTCTTGGCACCTACAGGGTGCCAAAGGCTGGCCTTGTGGGGAGCCTCGGGAACTCCACAGCAGCCCTGGCAGCAGGCAGGGTGGCCACCGTTTGGGGGGAGCAATCTGAGACTCTGAAAGCATAAAGGACTTCCCCAAGGTCACACAGGCAGGCTGTGAGAGAACAGGAACTGGAGCCCAGATTGCCCAGTGGTCCAGGCTCAGCTCCTGCCGTGCTGCCTCCCAGCCTTGGCCCCAGCCACCTGCTGGGCCTCATCTCTCACCCCGTCTCTGGTCTCTGCACTCTTGCCTGCTGGTGTCTCTGCCCTTCCCTGACTGCCTTGCACTTTCTGACCCTCTAGGCCTTTGCTCTTGCCTTCTTGGCCACCAGGAATGCCATCCGTCTCAACTTGGACTAATGAAACCCTTGTCCTCAACGTAGCCAACCTGGGGCACAATATGTGGCCCTTAAGAAGGATGTTGCGGGGGTGACTTACAGAACACTGTTCAAAGTATATTAAGTTGAAAAATGGACAAACTACAAAATCAATTTATACATAAGTGCGATGGTCCCATTTTTAAGTGCATATACATATTCTGCCTTGCCAGCTCCATTCCAGGGTTCAACATGTCTTCTCCGGGCTGCGGACGTGCCCAGGGCAGAACCTGTTTGCTAAGTCAACCTGGAAGAAATGAAATGAATTATAGGGTTTCCTGGTGCAGCTGTAGCATTCCACACAAGGTGAGGAGAGGCGCCGTGGGAGTGTGGATGGGGCTAAGAGGTCTTGGCATTCCTTTTACCAACCCCTCTCACCCAGAGGCTGATGGCCAGGCCCCACGGACTGCCCTCTGGTTTGCCTCACTGATCGGCAACACCCAGGTCCCCAAGCCCCGGTAACCTGCCCATGTCCCAAATACGGAAACCCAAGTTCAAGATCAGAGGGGAAAAGAAAATGAGTCTTCAAGATTTGCTTGGGACTACATTTTCTGTTTCTGTTTGGAAAGACGAATGTATTTTCTGAACTTTCACTATGAAAAATGCTCAGGGATTTCATTTATTGGCTTAACAAAAAAGTATTTTGTTTTTGTTTTTTTTTGGGGGGTGGAGGGGTGAAGAGTCAAGCATGCTTACTCTAGGAAGTTTGGAAATGTCACATGAAAAGAAGAAAAGTCACTCCCCTACCAATTTCAAGAGGCATATATTGTATATATTCTTTCCCAGCTTCTTTTTTTTTTTCTGTGCACAGTTATTTGGCTTAGTTTCCACTGAATAAATAGAAGGATTTCTGATTCACAATTTACAGAGCTGATTTCCTGTACTTGTAACCAGGTTGTGAGGCTTCCAACAGCTGCGATACTTTGCCCCTCTGGGAGTTGTGGGGGAGGGGCACTGCCCTCCCCTGTGTCCTCCTGACACTTCCGAGAATGCCATGCCCGTGTCGCTGCACCACTGCCAGCACTAAGCAGTGTCTGTTCATCTTACAACTAATCTGAAGTGTCTAAACTGTCCTGCTAGAACTTAACTCTTCACTTTGTTTCTTTTTAAAACTCCAGAGCTCAGAATATGTGCCTTTCTGGATGAGCTGGCCGTGATCTGTTTGTTTTGCCTTCCCCCAGCTCATGCATTCTTCGAGTCTTGGTAACTGGAATGTTTTGTCTGTTCAGGCTCAGAACGATCAGTGGGACAGGAACCAGAGTTAAGGGCCTCATGATGTGTCAAGATGAACCTGGGAAAACTGCAGGCTGTTGACTGGACTTCCTTTCTGAATCAGCTGGTATTTCCTTTTGTCCCTAGTTTGAACAGCTCCCCAGGGGCCCCACCTGAAATCCCCAGTCGTCTCAGAAGAGGATGGGGGAAATTCTGAAGTTCCCGTTAAACATAGTTACCTCACAGGCTTTGGAAGAAGCCGAAATGCCCGAGGCATTGCCTGCACTGGTGAATGTCTGACATGTTCAGCGTGTGTCCGGTGGGCCTGACCACTTGCTGGGCAGAGTTCCAGGGCAGCGAGACATCCTGGGATTCGTCGGATGCAGGAAAGACCTTGAACTGCCTGCTGGTAGTGACCTCAGGGCTCAATGAGGCCTCTTCGCTGTGGTCTGCTCTGAGCAATGGGCCCTCCAGTGCGAAACAGGATGCCCTGGTTCTGCGGGCAAGACAACTGTGAGAGAGAAAGCCGTGCGCGTGGGGGCCGGTGGGAAAAGACCGCCACCTAGAATGTCCCCACGAAACCAGTCAGTGGAAGGCCCTCTCCAGGAGGCCTCCAACAGGTCTCTGAATGCTACAGAAACCCCAGACGCCTGGGACCCCGGGACCCTGCAGGCCCTTCAGATTTCTCTTGCCGTGGTTCTTTCCATCATCACACTGGCCACAGTCCTTTCCAACGCCTTCGTGCTGACCACCATCTTCCTCACCAGGAAGCTCCGCACCCCCGCCAACTATCTCATCGGCTCCCTGGCCGTGACTGACCTCCTAGTTTCCGTCTTGGTCATGCCCATCAGCATCGCGTACACCACCACGCGCACCTGGAGCTTCGGCCAAGTCCTGTGTGACATCTGGCTGTCTTCTGACATCACGTGCTGCACGGCCTCCATCCTGCATCTCTGTGTCATCGCTCTGGACAGGTACTGGGCCATCACCGATGCCCTGGAGTACAGTAAACGCCGGACCGCCGGCCACGCCGCGGCCATGATCGCCGTCGTCTGGGCCATCTCCGTGTGCATCTCCATCCCGCCTCTCTTCTGGCGGCAGGCCAAAGCTCGCGACGAGATGTCGGACTGCCTGGTGAACACGTCCCAGATCTCCTACACCATCTACTCCACCTGCGGGGCCTTCTACATCCCGTCCGTGCTGCTCATCATCCTCTACGGCCGGATCTACGTGGCCGCTCGGAAGCGCATCCTGAACCCGCCGTCCCTCTACGGGAAGCGCTTCACCACCGCGCAGCTCATCACGGGCTCCGCGCGCTCCTCGCTCTGCTCGCTCGGCCCGGGCCTGCACCACGGCGCGCACGCCCACTTGGCCGGCTCCGCTCTCTTCTTCAACCACGTGAAGGTCCAGCTGGCGGACAGCGCCCTGGAGCGCAAGAGGCTGTCGGCCGCCCGGGAACGCAAAGCCACGCAGACCCTGGGGGTCATCCTGGGGGCCTTTATCGTCTGCTGGCTGCCCTTCTTCGTCGCATCCCTGGTCCTCCCCATCTGCCGGGACTCGTGCTGGATGCACCCGGCGCTTTTCGACTTCTTCACCTGGCTCGGCTACCTGAACTCCCTCATCAATCCGATCATCTACACTGTGTTTAACGAGGAGTTCCGGCGGGCATTTCAGAAAGTCGTCCGTCTCCGGGAAGCCTCCTAGTCTCGCGTGGTGGTGGCGGCTCGCGTTACCGTCTGCGTCCCGTAGCCCCACTGGAATTGTCTTTTTCTATTTTTCCTGAGATTTAGGCTCATCCCGGCCTTCGGGGTCTGGGTTCCATCAATGGAATTGTTCAGTGTTCTTCTTTTCTTCCGTCTTCTTGATGTCTGAGCCACCCAGAGCCGGGAAGCTGTGGGAAAGGGGACAGAGACCGGCAGTTTCACTAGCGTATCTTCAGGATTCACGCATCTCGGGAGAAACAGGACCCACAGGGTTACCCATCGGTGCAATTCAGGTGGAAGACTCGGACTGCGGGGAGACCCAGGCTCAAAAGGGGGGCTTTCCGGTTCCCCTAAGTTTTGTATGGAACTCAAAGGTGGGTAGATGAGCTTAATGACCTGAATGGAAAGAGAATTTGGAGGTAGGATGGAGGAGTCTCCATTCCGTGTGGCACCTTAATTGGAAAATAACACCCAGGGATTTCTTCCTCTGATGCCTGATGAGACTGAATCTCCCCGTCGTCCGTCTGAGGCGGCAACAGTACAGAGTGACGGAGGTCAGGAGCTGGGCGCGGGGGAGGGGGGCGGCTGGAACCCCAGCAGCCACCCTGCGCCCCTCCCCCTCCAGCATCTCTGCGCCCGCCTGATGCTCTGAAGCTAAAACGCACCATCACTCCCCGCTGAGGGAGAATGACCGCTGGGCACCCACCAGGCTTCGAGGGGACCCCATTCTGATTTTCCCCCTGAATTTTTACATCCCGTTCTCATGAGAGATCTTAAGATGTCGAGTCTTGTCAAATAAAAAGCATGAGACCTCATGATCAGTAAAGTCTTTGGGTCATTTTTCTTCCCTCTGCCAGGATGTAGAAACCTTTCCATTCACTTTCGTCCCCAGCATTTATTGAGCACCTACCAGGTGCTCGGCCCTGTGCCAGGGCCCTGGCATTTGTCATCTCACGGGAGCTCATAGCAGTGAAAGGCGGTATAACCTGATGATCAGAGCCGGGGACCTGGTGCCTCAGTCCACAGAGAAGGACTACCAGTGCCTAACTGGGCCACCTTGGACAAGTTTTTTAATCCATCTTGGCCTCATTTTCCTCAACTGTAACATGGCAGCAACAATAAGTATGTCACTATATATTTTCACACAGCGCTTGGCACAAGAGCTCTTACCACCATTTTAGAGATGCAGGAGCTGGTCTGCCCCAGGTCGAGCAATATAAAAGGAAGAGCTACTCTCTATAGCGCCTGCATTGCTCGTTGCCTGCGTGTTCTCATTTCCTCTTCGTCCCCATTTTACAGGTGTGGAAGGACACTCGCCTGTGGTTAGGGAGGGCTTCCTAAAGAGATGACACTTCAGCAGACCCCCAAGAGATGAGCCCTTGTGGGATGGGAGGCTAAGGAAGGGGAGAGGTGATGAGGCCTCTCGGGGGAGATGGGCCGGAGCGAAGGAAGACGGGAAAGATGGCGTCAGGTGGAGAGAAGAGCAGGAACGGAGCCCCCGAGGCCTGCAGTGCTCACTGGGGGTCCCGGGGCCCAGGGAGAAGGAGAGCCAGGCATATGGGATATCAAGGAGGAGTGGAAAAAGAGGGATGCCAAGATCATTGGTGCGGGGTGGGGGCGGGCACCTGGAAGAGTCTTGTGCTGACTTTGAAGTCCCTGCAGGACATCTCACAGTGTGGGCCCTGGACCATCTGCACTAGACTCTCCCAGGGAGTTTGTTAATACTGGGTTTCTCGCCCCCAACAAAGAGCCACTAAGACAGAATCTCTGGCAGCGAGGCCCAGGAATCTGCATTTTACATCAGCCTTGCTCCCTTTTTCTGCATTAAGTGACTTCTCTGCCTCTAAACTTTGGGAAGCACTGTGTTAGTGTCTTGCTCCCCCGTGAGCCCCCTCCCTGAACCCAGAGACATCGCTCAGCATCTCACTGCTCTCCCCCACGCCTAGCACGCTCCTCCCTACCTTTCTTTTAGGTTGTGCGCCCCCCCATTTCCACCTTGTTTTGGGCCATCATCCTGATCCGGGAAAGATCAGTAACTGAGACACTGGACAGGGAGCTACATTCAGTGTGTCTCAGCGGTTAAGGGCACAGGCCTTGAAAGTCAGACACCTGGAGCTGGATCCCAGGTGTGCCATTTATCTGCTGTGTGGCCTGAGGTAAGTCACCTAACCTCTCTGTGCTCCACTTTCTTCATCTCTTTTTTAAGTATATTTTATTTTTATTTATTTTTTTAAAAGATTTTATTTATTTATTTATTTTAGAGAGGGAAGGGAGAGAGAGAGAGAGAGAGAGAGAGAGAGAGAAACATCAATGTGAGGTTGCTGGGGGTCATGGCCTGCAACCCAGGCATGTACCCTGACTGGGAATCGAACCTGCGATGCTTTGGTTCGCAGCCCGAGCTCAATCCACTGAGCTACGCCAGCCAGGGCCAGTATATTTTATTGATTAAGCTATTACAGTTTTCCCAATTTCTTCTTCTTTATCCCCCCTCCACCTTGCACCCCCAACCCTCCAGCATTCCCCCCTTAGTTCATGGCCATGGGTTGTACATATAAGTGCTTTGAGTTCTCTGATTCCTATACCATTCTTAACCTCTCCCTGTCTATTTCATGCCTTCCAATTATGCTTCTTCTTTCCTGTACCTTCCCCCCATTCCTCCCTTCCCCGTCCCCACTGAAATCTCCCCATGTGATGTCCATTTCTCTGATTCTGTTGCTGTTCTAGTTGTTTGCTCAGTTTCTGTTTTCATTGTGTGTCTTTTCTTGGGGGTTCATTTGTTGATAGTTGTGAGTTTGTTGTCATTTTACTGTTCATGATTTTGATCTTCTTTTTCTTAGATAAGTCCCTTTAACATTTCATAAAATAAGGGCTTGGTGATGATGAATTTCTTTAACTTGACCTTATCTGGGAAGCACTTTATCTGCCCTTCCATTCTAAATGATAGCTTTGCTGGATAGAGTAATCTTGGATGTAGGTCCTTGCCTTTCAAAGGCAAAAAAGTACTTCAAGTACTTTTTTTCAGCCCCTTCTTGCCTGCAAGGTTTCTTTTGAAAAATCAGCTGATTATGGGAACTTCTCTGTAAGTAACTGTCTCCTTTTCTCTTGTTGCTTTTAGGATTCTCTATCTTTAATCTTGGGTAACTTAAAGATGATATACCGTGGTGTGTTCCTCTTTGGGTCCAGCTTCTTTGGGACTCTGGGCTTCCTGGACTTCCTGGAAGTCTATTTTCTTCACCAGATGGGGGAAGTTTTCCTTCATTATTTGTTCAAATAAGTTTTTGATTTCTTGCTGTTGTTCTTCCCCTTCTGCCATCCCTATAATTTGGATATTGGAATGTTTCAGGTTGTCCCAAAGATTCCTCAGCCAGTCTTAATTTTTTTTGAATTCTTGTTTCTTCATTCTGTTCTGTTCGGATGTTTATTTCTTCCCTTTGTTCCAAATCATTGCTTTGAATCCTGGCTTCCATCTTGTCACTGTTGGTTCCCTGAATATTTTGCTTTATTTCATTTTGGGTATCTTTCATTTGTTCTTTCATTTTTCAACCAAGCTCAATTAGTCCTGCAAGCATTTTGATTACCAGGGCTTTAAACTCTCCGTCAGATAGGCTGGCTATCTCCTCATCACTTAGCTCTCTTTCTGAAGCTTTGCTCTGTTCTTTCATTTGGGCTATATTTCTTTGTCTTGGCACACCAGTCTGGTTGTTCTTGTTGACTGTTTCTTTAATTCCTTGGTTGTCGGAGTTCCATGCAGTTTGATTTTCTGGTACTTCTGGTTGTTTATTGATTTTAGATTGGTTGTTATCCTCCTTTTGGTTGTGCGAGGAAGCGAGGGTTCCTACCTATGCCTCCATCTCGGCTGGAACTCCAGTTTCTTCATCTCTCTTTTTTTTAAAAGATTTTATTTTATTTATTTTTAGAGAGGTAAGGGAGGAGAAAGAGAGAAACATCAATGTGCGGTTGCTGGGGGTCATGGCCTGCAACCCAGGCATGTGCGCTGACTGGGAATCGAGCCTGCGACACTTTGGTTTGCAGCCTGCGCTCAATCCACTGAGCTGCGCCAGCCAGGGCCAGTTTCTTCATCTCTTAAATGGGGTTGTCTGTACCTAAGCCATAGGATGTTTGTGAGGATTAAGTGAGGTAACAATTGTAAAATGCTTTACACAGTGCCTGGCACATAAGTGTTCAGTAAAATGCCATCTGTTACTCTCCGAGAGCTCTGAGCCAATTACAAAGAAAACGCAAATGCCTCCTTTTCAGAGGACTTCCTTGCCTAGAGCAAAGGTTGGTAAACCTTTTAACAACAGATTTATTGATGTGCAATTCATATGCCGTACAGTTCACCGATTTAAAGTGTATGATTCAATGCCTTCTAGTGCATTTAGAGAGTCATATTCTTCGCCACGATCAATTTTCATCACTCCAGAGAGAAACCCTGCACCCGGCAGCTGCCACTGCCCGCCTCCCTCGCCCAGGCCGTCACTGACCGGCTTTGTCTCTGGACCTGCCTATCCTGGGTGTTTCATACAAATGGAGCCATGCAGTACGCGGTCCTTTGTGTCTGGCTTCTCCCATTTGGCATGATGTTTTCACAGTTCATCCATGCTGTGGCATCTATCACCATTATGTTTCTCTTTATTGCCGGATAACACCCTGTTGTGTGACTGCACCGCACCTTGTCTATTCATTCATCCGTTGATGGATATCCGGGTTGTCTCCACTTTTTGGCTCTTACGAACAATGCTGCCACGAACATTCTTGTACAAGCTTTTTCATGAACGTATGTTTTCTTTTCTCTTAGGGACGTACTCAGGAATGGAATTGCCGGGTCCTATGGTGATCTGTGTTTACCCTTTTGAGGAGCTGCCAGACTGTTTGCCAAGGCGACTGCACCGTTTTACGTTCCCATTCCGATTTGCCCACATCTTCACCCATACTCCTTGTCGTCTTTCTGATTACAGCCACTCCAGTGGGTGTGCGATAGTAGCTCACCGTGACAGCAAACTTTTGTGGAAGGGCCAGACAGCAAATATTTTCAGGTTTACAGGTCATATCATCTCTGTTGTAACTACTCACCTCTGCCATTGTAGCGTGAAAGCAGCCACAGGCAACATATAAATAAATGAGCTTGGCTGTATTCCGATAAAATTTTGTTTACTGAACTAGGTGGCAGCTTGCAGGCTGTAATGTGCAGAGAGTCAGATCTAGAAGAGCACCCTCTCCCGCACCAAGCCTTTCTTGATCCCCTTCCCTGGCTTTATTTATTTTTTTATTATACATATTACTGATAATGATATGTATGTATTAGTTCTTGCTTTGTGTCTGTCTGCCACCTCTAGAGGGTTGACTTCTTTGAAAGCGGGGATCTTATTTGTTAAGTTCACCATTTGCTCCCCAGCACATCAGTGTCTGGCATATAATAGATACTCAATAAGGATTTGTTGGAGTGACTGACTGGATGGAACACCATTTCTAGGTTTACAAATGACTCATTCCCCATGTCTTTGTCTTTAAAGTTTTAAGATAAAGTGACTGGTTCTGGGACTAGAACCTCAGAAACCTCGAGGTTTGGTGGCAGGTGGGCCGGAAGTCAGAGTCAGGGCAGCTGTGTCCTGAGTGTAGCGCAGGCAAGGGGAGAGTGAGGGACCTGGCGGACCCCAGTGTCCCCAAGGAGCTGGGGCTGGGGCTGCCCCCTTAGCGTGCACTCGGCCGCTCTGGCCTTCTGCTCAGACGCCCCCTCCTCCACAGTCTCTGCAGTGACAAAGGGGACGGAAGCTTTGGAGAGAGAGCAGCTGTTTTCTGGTCTTC